AACACACTCGCACATGTACACTTATAGGGTACCTCCACTTGTTGTCTTTGGAATAAACAGTCGCGTCTCTCGAACATAGGAGATTTTAGCAGAGACCCTTTGGTTTAAAGATCATAAGTCCCTCGATAATCCTTTCGACGTTGCCTCGGTAAATGATCTTAAAACCTTAGAGTAATTGCTAAAGTATCTTACGAGTTGCTTTCGTGACTGTACGATGACCCCGCCTGCCCCTTAAAACATCCAACGATGGAGCTACCTACTAACTAATAGTAGGATAGCATTGTCTAAAGGAAAGAGAAAAAAAAACAAAAATCTTTTGAGTCGGTGAATAGTTCATAGTTGCTTGCTCATAAAAACAAACAAAATAATTTTTTTCCACACATACATAAACTCTTTTCTAAATATTTTCAAAGACAAAAATACTTTGTATACGTTCTCGCCGAAACGAAAAACATTATAAAGTCCGCCTCACTAAAGCGTCTTTTCAAAATATCTTCAAAAAACGTTTACACAAAAAAGTATTTTCAAAACGAACTAACAACTAAGAGCCCGTAGATAACTACATATGGAAATGGTGTTAACATCTTCCCTTTCCATAACCTATCCTCTTACTCAGACAAATTCTCAAAAGTTATTTCCTATTCTTTTCACCCTTTCTTTTATTAGATAAAAGAAAAGTCGATGACGACTCTTGTTAACCGCAACAATTGCGATAAAATGCAAAACCAATAAAATCAATTCTCCCACCGTATTACAGCAGAGTCGTCAAAAACTATGAAAACCCAAAATACATATTTTGAAACTAAATCAAATTTATCCTATCTAAATCAAAAATATATTTATGTGTAACAAACTATTTCCATATTAAATCAAATTTCAATCAAATATTCTTGAATATTAGTATGTTGGATTTGTCACGATATAGAAGCATGTTTTCCGAGATTTACTTAAGGAGCTCATTCATCTTTTTTTCTTTCTAATTTAGAGGCGTTAATGTTTGGTTTTTATTTAATTTTTAAATATTTCTTTTACAATGTTAAAAGTTTTTATATTGTGATTATGATATATAATTTATTATTATTTCTACTTTTTTTAAGTAAATAAAAATCAATAGATATGTATTTGTATTTTGGGATGAAGTTAACGTGGGAGCGCTGGAATTACAACCGTTAGTTTGGCACACAATAGTAGTGTTGCTTTTCACTTTTCAGTGTTGGCCAAAAAAGCACTGCACAAACACCATTATTCGGAAACAACATGTTTTTATCATTACATGGATTAATCAACCTCGAAAATCACGTCGTATATTTTTCTTTTATTGCAAAATCAAACATTTTTTTCTTCTTTTTCCTTCAAAATCACTACATATGAGTTTTAGGGTACACAAATCAATCATAAATATTTATCTTAAAATTTCAATAGGTTTGTCGGTGATGAAAATTATTTAGAGGCTTCACTAAAGTTTTCTATTCTCATTTTATAAACTGTTTCCTACTCATTTAACAACACAAAAAGGGCAGTAACACTTTAATTTTTTTTAATGTTTTAATACAATGCACTTTCACATCAAATTTAATAATAATAATAATAATAGTCTCTCCGTCTTAATTTATAAACAAAAAAACATTCATTTTTCTTATTATAAATTATAAGTAAAAAATATTAATTTTATTTCATTTAATTATTTTATTTTAAAAAATTCATCTTTCCTAAGATAAAATTAAATACAAATTTTATTTAATTTGTTTTCTCTCTCATTTTTTCCATAGAGAACTACTAATTAAAATTGCTTTTATATTTTTCTATAAAATATATTTCAAAAAACATATTAAAATATAAATTTTTTTAATAAGTATGAAAATATAATTTTTATTTATAAATTGGTACGGAATAGTAAATATTAATTAAAAAATAAGTTAAATTTTTTTCAGGGGGAGAATTTTATATTTAAATAACATAATATTTTAATAATTTTATTAATTTAAAATATCCACACCATTATTTATGTCTTTAAATTCATTAAATGATGATGACTGAAATATCATTTTATTTTAAAAAATTGACGAGTAAAATTAATTTTTTTTTCTTTTTATATGTTTAATTTACTTGAAGTTATATTAGTAAAAAAAATCATTACTAATATAGTTGAAACGTGAAAAGAGCTTTATAGTAAAATGAAAAAATACAAAAAAAAAAAAAAAATTGAGCCACATGCTACATATGTATATGATATATTATTTATAATAAAAAATTGGACAATATATATAAAAAAAAAAAGGCCGAACAATGAAATTGTACTAAAAATAAATTAATCTAAAACAGTTGCAATAAAAAAAGTTACCGGCTATGGTAGCTTCAAATATAGTGGCGTGTCGGAATATAGATAAGTTATACTTAGTGTGTTTTTTCTTTGGGCCTATGCCCTCTTTATTACCAAAAAAAATTTTTACCTAAAGACATGCGGGTTTTGCGTTATTTGTGTAATGGGGGCACAAAATTAATATTTGCAAAATGACTATTTCTGACAGTACCTTATTTTCATTTATTCTATCAAATATACTTTCTCCTTCTTTTATAATTGTCATGTTTAAACTATAATAATTATTGTTTAAAAAGTAACAATAATTATTAATTTTAGCAATATGTATAAAAAGTAAAAAATAACAATTGAAAAGAAACAGAAGGAATATTATCTTAAATTTTGTAAGGGACAATTAAAGAAACACAAAAAATTATTTTAAAAGTGACAGTTAAAAAAACGGAAAAAATACCATTTAAAAATAATACTAAGTAGTTTTACATTTATATTTATGTAAAACTTTTTTATTTAAAATTAAGAATGACAACCAATATTCATGAATACGGTACTAATCTTTCATTATTCATTCTATTTAATAAATATAATACTTATTTTTATTAGATACTCGTATAAATATCTCCGTATAAATATGTTTGAATTTTGAGATATATGTAATATTTATATATATTCATACTATTATTTAAAAACAAGTTTAAAAATACATATAATTAACAAAAAAATATTTCTTTTAAAATTTTGCAATTTAATATATAATAATAATAATAATAATAATAATAACAAAATAAATTATATTTCTTTTATTTTTTATTAAATAATTATATTAAATTTATTAAAATAATAATGGTTTTATATTTCACAAAATAATAATAATAATAATAATTTTTAATCAAATAAATAATTTTTATTAATTATTAACGAATATTGATATCTATAAATATAAATATCATCAAATCTGTATTCGTACTGTATAAATAAATAATTAAATATTTATTTATTTTACTCGTGATTATAATTAAATTATCATATCCTTATTTGTGACACATTTTAACTGTAAATACCTATGATAAAAAAATTTCGCCATCCTTAAAACACATGTATTTAATTATATTTCACAAACTACTTATTTATGAAGATATCTTAAAGATACCACAAAAGTGAGTGTAATTTAAATGGAAGCAGTTTTAGTATATATAGAAATTAATTTCATAATTAAAAAGAGGAAGAAAATAACCGAAAATAATTCTTATTTCTCTTTTTTATTATTTAAAATAATTTTAAAATTTTTAAAAATTTAATTGAAATATATTGATAATATCAATTTTTTTATATAATTGCTTAATCATTTTTTACGGATATAATCACTTAATCAAAAACGTTTGGATGTTTAAAAAAAATTGATTTTTATTTTAATTATCTAAAAAATAATGTAAATGAACGATGATGAATTCTAACATATTATTAAAACTTTTTATTTATTTAATATACATTATCATTGTAAAAAATTATCATTACCTTTTTAGAAAAGTTAAACCTTTTCGTCGTCTGTGAATAAAACGTGAATCCAAATATCCAAAAATAATAATAATGAGAATCCAAATTCAAAATAACAAATGCTCTTCTAAATTGTCATTTGTTTCAATTACAGTTACTATATTGTAACGAAATTTCCTCCACGTTCCAAATCAACCGTAAAGAATGTGCGTATCCAAGTCTAAATTATTTATTAATATAATATAATATAATAATAATATATCATAATTCGATTTTTTTTCTCCTTTTCTTCTATCATCCCTTTTTGGTCGGTCTTAATTTCCTTTTTTACCCCTGCCAACTTTATTTTTTTTGTATTTGTATTTGCTTTTGCTATAGTTTTCGTTTTCACTTTACCAAGTTCTCAGATTCTTAGAGACAGTACCAACCTATAGTGCCTAAAAAGCAAAGCATAACAAAAGAAAAAGAAAGAGAGAGAAAAAAACATACAAATAAACAACATTGTCTACATAACACAGAGATCTAAAATCAACATGGGATGAACATGTTCATCCATGATGATGGTGTTATTTGGAACAAAAATGTTTCCTCAAGTTTTTCTGTAAGTAATTTTAACCTGAATTATGTGTTTACTTTTGTTGTTACTATTGATCGAAACAAATACTGATTTCTTACGTTATTTTATTGTTTGAAATTGAATTATATTGTTGTCCATATCATGATCTTCATAAAAAATAATGAGAGCAAGTTTTGTTTAATTAATTTTACTTTTGCCTTTTTTTCCTGACTAACGATAATTTATGTTGTTGTTTATTGGGAAAATTGTGATAACTTTACTTGGAATTTTGTGTTTGTGCAGTACGGATTCCGGTGTGTCAGTTGTTTGTTCCTTAATTCTTGGAATTTGAGACTTGAGAGAGAGTTTAACGATCAGGTATTTTATTTTATTTTCTGGTTTTGTTTTTGATTATTTTATTTTTATTTTGATGAGAAAAAAAAAAAGTTTGGAAGAAACGGTATTGATGTGATTTAACTGAAACTGAACCGTTTGCATTCATTGAGAGAGAGTTTAACTGATCAGTTTTTTTTTGTTGCTGTTGTTGTTGTTGTTGACAGAAGCAACAAGGATATTGATTGTGTTGAGTGATTCTGGTTTTAGTTTCAACATCAGAAGAGACAGTGTTTGGTAATGACTTCGCTATCTCGAAGTGATTCTAATAAAAAGTATTCATGGTGGTGGGACAGTCACATAAGCCCCAAGAACTCGAAATGGCTCCAAGAAAATCTCACAGGTAAATGCATGCAGCACTCTCTCTCTTTCTGCTCTTACTGGTAGGAAGCAATTCTGTTATCTATGATCTTAATTTGCTTTGTGGATGTTTTATGCGGGTCCGAGGTTCAATCCCGTGCGCGCGCATGTGTGACCACTCGTTAAAAAAAGTTTCCAGTTTCATTGAAATTTACTCGCAACTCGCGATGCACTTAATTTGGTATTTTATCAGGGGATATATGGAATCATTTAACAAAATTATTTGTATGCATTTAAAGATATCCTTGAACACATTAACTTACCATAATGGTGCTTGATCATGAACAGATATGGATGTCAAAGTGAAGCAAATGATAAAGCTTATCGAAGAAGATGCAGATTCCTTTGCCAGAAGGGCAGAAATGTATTACAAGAAGCGTCCAGAGCTTATGAAGTTGGTTGAAGAGTTTTACCGGGCGTATCGAGCATTGGCTGAGAGATATGATCATGCAACTGGAGTGATACGTCAAGCCCATCGTACGATGGCTGAAGCTTTTCCTAATCAAGTCCCACCAGTATCAACTGACGATTTACATGCCATTTCTTCCGTGGAGATTGGGCAGCCGCATACGCCAGATACTACCGGCCATTCACATGCATTTTCTGATTCAGATGAATTGCAAAAGGGTGATTCTACTCATGAAACAGATATTGCATTAAGCAGAAAGGGTTTGAAACAGCTTAATGATCTCTTCATGACAGGAGAATCGGTAAGTCATATAAAGTTTGCTGAAGGACGTGCTAGAAGGGGGCTTAATTTTCATGACACACAGGAGACTAATGGAGTAAACAATGGAAGCCATGAGAATGATCTCTTGTCGGATTCCGACCGGATGTCCAGAACCGAGACAGAAGTTTTGGCATTAAAGATCAGCCTTGCTAAACTAGAAAGTGAAAAGGAAGATGGCTTGATTCAGTATCAGCGGAGTCTGGAGAGATTATCTAATCTGGAATCAGAAATGTCTCGTGCTAGAGAGAATTCTCAAGGACTTGATGACCGAGCAAGCCAAGCTGAAGCCGAAGTTCAAACCTTGAAAGAAACCCTTGATGAATTGCAGTCGGAAAGAGAAAATAGTCTTTTTCAGTACCAGCAGTGCTTAGACAAAATATCTAATCTAGAGAAAAATATTTCTTCGGCTCAAAAGGATATAGGAGAATTTAACGAACGGGCTACTAGAGCTGAAACTGAAGCCGAATCCTTAAAGGTAGACCTTGCTAGATTAGTTGCTCAAAAGGAAGCTGCTCTTTTTCAGTATAACCAGACCTTGGAGACATTGTCAAAACTAGAGGAGAAATTAGTACAAGCCGATGAGAATGCAAGGAGAACTAATGAGCAAGCTAGTATCGCTAAAAATGAAATTGAGGAGATGAGATTAGAAATTGGTAAACTTATCAAAGAGAAAGAGGATGCGGCTCTTCGTTATCAGGAATGCTTGGAGATAATTTCTAGTTTGGAGCATAAACTCTCTTGTGTCCAAGAGGAGGTGCGTGAGCTAAATTGCAAGATAAACGATGGAGCTCAAAAGTTAGATATTTCTGAGCAGAAGTGTGTTCTCTTGGAAACATCAAATTACACTCTACAATCTGAATTGCAGTCTTTGGCACAGAAGACGGTGTCTCAAAGTGAAGAACTTAGTGAGAAGCAGAAGGAATTGGGTAGACTTTGGAGTTGCGTACAAGACGAGAGGATGCGATTCATTGAGGCTGAAACTGCTTTCCAAACTCTTCAGAATGTGCATTCACAATCTCAGGAAGAACTTAAATCTCTTGCAGCTGAGCTTCATAACAAGGTTGGAATTCTTGAGAGAATGGAATCACATAAGAAGGCTTTAGAGGATGAAGTACACAAGGCCAAGGAGGAAAACAAAGTTCTAAATGATCTCAAACTGTCTTCATCATTGTCTATGAATAATTTGCAGGATGAGATATTAAATCTCAGGGAAATAATAAAGAAACTAGAACTTGAGGTTGGATTGCAAGTAGATGAAAGAAATGCTCTTCAGCAGGAGATTTACTGTCTTAAAGAGGAGCTTAATGATGTGAACAAAAGATACGAGTCCACGGAGGAGGAGGTCAGATCAACCGGCTTAGACCCACAATGCTTTTCCCTATCTGTGAAGCTATTGCAAGATGAAAACTCAAAGCTGACGCAAACATGCGAGGCTGGCAAAGATGAAAACGCAGCACTCAACAAAAAACTGGAGATCATGAAGATGCTTCTGGAGAAAAATGCTAATTTGGAGAATTCCCTTTTGGTTTTGAATTCTGAGCTGGAGAGTGTCAGAGGAATGGTAAAGGTATTAGAAGAAAATTATGAATCCTTGCGTGCGGAGAAATCCACTCTTGCTGCTGAGAAGGCAACCCTGTCTTATCAGTTGCAAACCACAGCTGAAAAGCTGGAGAAGCTTTCAAAAAAATATCACATTTTAGAAAATTCACTATTTGATGTGAATGCGGAGCTTGAAGGATTAAGGTTAAAGTCAACGATTTTGGAAGAGACTTGCCTCTCACTTGACCATGAGAAGTTTAGTCTCGCTTCTGAGAAAGAAACCGTAGATTCGCAGTTGAACATGACTCGTCAAACACTTAAAATTCTTGAGAAACAACATAGTGAGTTGGAACTGCAACATTTGGAGTTAAAAGCAGAAAGGGAGTCTGCACTTCAAAAGGTGGAAGATCTACTGATTTCATTATATGCTGAGAGGGAAGAACATTCTAGAATTGTGCAATTTAATGAAGGTCACTTGGTTGAGAAGGAATTTCAAATTCATATTCTACAAGAAGATGCAAATTACCAGAAAAAGGAATCTGAAGAGGAACTGGACAGAGATCTACGCACTCAGATAGAAATTCTCATCTTGCATGAATGTATTCGGGAATCGGAGCAAAATAATTTCTCCCTTCTACTTGAGCATCAGAGATTCTTGGAGGCATCCAACATGTCTGAAAGATTGATATCTAAATTAGAGAATGACAATGTTCAAAAGCAAGTCGATGCAAATTTGTTGTCTGAGAAAATTAACGTGCTAAGAATTGCGCTGCTTCATGTGTTAAAAACTCTTGACAATAACTGTGAGCATTTGCCTGAAGATAATGTTAAAGAAGACCAGAAGCTTCTGAACGATATACATGACAAACTTCAGGAGAAAGAAAATTCTTTTATCGAAGTTTTTCATGAAAATCAGCAAATGGCCATTGAGAATTCAGTTCTTGTTACATTCCTTGGCCAGTTGAAATTAAAGGCTAAAAATATTGCAACAGAAAGAGAAGCTCTTGATGGGGAGTTGAGGATCCAGTCTAAGCAATACTTGGCATTGCAAGAAGATGTCGAAAAGATGCTAGAGATGAATCAGGCATTGGAATTAACAATAAGCAGAGGAGAAGAGAAAATGGAAGTAATGACAACTGAAAATTTGATGGCACTTAAGGAACTAAGCGAAGAACTGGATAAACTTGTTTCAGTAAATACCAACCTTGAGGAGAGATTGAAAGTAATGACGGGAAAATTAGAAGATGAGCAAATGGAAAACTCATATCTTAAGGAGTCTTTTGTAGTGTCGAACATTGAACTAAAATTAGTTGAATCTGTCAATGATAAGTTAAATTGTCAGATTAGGAATGATAAGGAATTATTGTCTCAAAAGGAAAATGATATTTTGGAAGCAGCAGAGATGTTTAGTGCTTTACAGGAAGAAAAAAAAGCATTGCAAATATTGATGGTAGATCTGAAGAGTAAGTACGAAGAGGCGATTACAATACTTGAAGAGCAAGGCAGTCAAATTTTAAAATTATCCTCAGACAAGGATCATCAAATTGAAGTGAATAAGAAGTTGGAGGCAGAAATGAGGCACCTGCAACAAGAACTTGGAGAAACTAAACTGATGGAAAAAAAGCTAAGTTATGCACTACTCAAGGGAGCGGATGAGATTGAACAATGGGAATCTCAGGCTGCCATATTCTATACTGGAATGCAGATTTCTACTGTCAATGAGACATTCTTTGAAGGGAAGGTCCGGGAGCTAGCTGATGCGTGCGAGAATCTTGAATCCAGATGCAGCTCCAACGTTATGGAAAGTGAAAAGCTGAAAGAAAGAGTCGACAAGTTGGAAGACGAAAACAAGAAATTACGGGTCCAGATGGCTGCTTATGTCCCAGCTGTCGGTGGTTTAAATGATTGTATAACATCCTTGGAGATGCAGACACTTGGTCAAGCAAAACCTAATAACTCCAAAGACTCTAAGGTATTAACATACTATTCTCTAGTGTGCTGGGGAAGGAAAGAAATGGAGTGTTTTTTGGATCAAATAAACTAGTTGTGTTTTTTCCAATTGCTGAACACTTGTGTGCTTAATGGTGACCCAGCACCAATTTCATTTTTGATATACATATATAACATAGTTTGTGTAAATCTTCGTTTCCAGGTTAAGAAGTATGTGAATATCAAATACGCAGATGGCGATCCACGAACAAGTGTAGATCAAAATGCTACGGAAACAGATGCACTTCCAGACTTCCAAGACATGCAGAAAAGGGTTAACGCAATTGAAATGGTTATTAGACAGATGAATGAAAGTTTCAAACCTAGGGATGAAATGAGAGAGATTCAAGTTTTAAAATCTGGAATCAGCTGGCGCCAAGGAAATGCTCAAGCAAACAAGCATTCTACTCAAATGGATGAAGCCAAGGAGCATCAATATGGAGCTGTTTATGGACATAAGACGAGAAAATCATTGCAAGATATTCCTGTAACAGAAATCGAAGTTCTTCCGAAAGACATCATGCTTGATCATACGTCTGAATGTTCATCGTATCGGATTAGTAGGAGAGGAGCTCATAAGTCTGATGAGCAGATGCTTGAATTGTGGGAAACTGCTGATCAAGATGGCATTACTGGCGTGACAGTTGGCAAGGCACAGAAGGTCACTGCACCTATTGGATACCAACAAAGGAGACTATCCAAGGAATCCAAAAAAAAGTATCCTTCGGTAGAGTCCTTGATTGAAAAGGAATTGAGTGTAGACAAATTAGAGATCTCAAGATCACAGTCGCGGCCGCTGCTGCTTGAAGGCAATAAGAGAAAGGTTTTAGAAAGACTTGATTCAGATGCTCAAAAGCTGATGAACCTCGAAATCACCGTACAGGATTTGATAAACAAGATGAACATTATTGAGAAAACGAGCACAGTGGGAAAAGGTGTTGAGTATGATGATGTGAAAGGACAGCTTGAAGCTGCTCAAGAGGCCATCACAAAGCTGTTTGATACCAACCGCAGGTTGATGAAGAATGTAGAAGAAGGAACTTCATCCTTTTCTGGGAAGTCTACAACAGTGTCGGATGAGAGTGGAAGTGTCGGCAGCAGAAGAGTTTCAGAACAGGCTCGAAGAGGATCTGAAAAAATAGGACGGCTACAATTGGAGGTGCAAAGGCTTCAATTTTTACTTCTAAAATTGAATGATTACAAAGAAGGCAAAGGAAAAGCAATGATTGATGATCAAAATCCAAGAGTCCTTTTGCGAGATTATCTCTATGGCGGGACAAAGAAAAGCTACTATAAGAGGAAGAAGAAAGCCTCCTTTTGCGCATGCATACAACCTCCAACCAGCGGAGATTGAATCAGCAAGATTTTTAACATAGTTTAAAATACAAGGGACAAATGATACATTAGCTTTCTTCTTTGTAAACTTGCCTTTATAGTCTAGACATGTTTAAAGACTCTTGCATTTCTTACTATGGAGAGGATCTAGGATTAACTTAGTATATAGATCCTGACATCCTGTTGTATATGTAGCGTATCGTTCACTCAGTAGAAAGAGGCTGGGATGAAATTCTCGCCGTTTCATTTTCTGAAAATCCCCTCCGTCTTATTTCCTTCTTGGCTTAATGTGCAGTTATTGTTTATCTAGTAGTACCATTTTAACCATCACGGTGCATTGCAATTATCGATGTTGTTTGTCACTCCCGTCTCTTAAAAGTCATTTGTTCAGCATAAAGTGAAAGACAAATGAAGACATTAGGATTCATTTTTGCTGGAATGTTACTGCAGACATTTCTTCCAATAATAACAATAATTAACATTCACCGATAACAAGGGGGATAAAAGAAGCTTTACTTAATCACAACTCTCATCCAAAAAAAAAAGAAAATAAACTCTGTCTAAGTTCAACAACTGAATGGCAGAGGCCAGAAGTCAAATTCTAAATACGATGAACAGCGGTAGCAGAAGTACCATTAGTGTCTAATTGCACTCCATGATGTAAATGTTTGGCCAAACTTTCTTGTACGGTCTTTCCTGAAGGATCAACTTGCTTGCAATACTGTTCTCGATATCCTGAATCATGATGACCAGGCAATGCAACCTCTAGACCTATCGTGTCCCCACAATCAATAACTATATTATGAAGCAAACAACAAGTCAAGATAATGCTCGGCAATTTCCTCTTATCCGGTCTCCACATAACCTTACTAAGGATTCTCCAACTTCCCTTCAACAGAGAAAATGCCCTCACTGCAAGTATTCTTGCAGCTTCATGTTTGTTATTAAAACTGAACTGTGAATCTGATATGCCATTAGTTTCATAAGGTGTCATAAGCCACGGAAGAAGAGGATAACTGTACCCACCAACTATATATTCTCTCATCACATCTCCATCTAAAGTTCTTACATTTCCATTCAAACGCTCTCCATTTTGCGAGAGTTTGAAAAACGACGAACACTTCAATAATCTTGAAAACGTCATGCCACCAGGCAAACCTGTCACGATATCAATGAACCTCATTTCATGATCAACAATCCCTTGTAACAACATGCTGTAATTCTTTTCTTGATCACACCAATCATCCGAGGTTTGAACTGCCGGAAGTGTCATCATGACATGCGTTGCATCAATGGCACCACAGCAATTAGGCAAACCACAAGACACTTCGAAACCAAACTTGATCTCCTGCAATCTATCAAAATCAGGCCAACTGAGATGACGTTTACCACGTTCCTCGAGCGCTTCAATGAATCTCCAAGTCACCTGAGAAACCGTCGACTGGCCAACTCCAAAAGAAGCTCCAACCGAGACCTGAGATTCACCCGATGCTAACCTTCTAAGAGCAATAGCAACCTGTTTCTCAACACTAAGAAGCCGTCCCTCGATATTGATAAGGCCGGACGGAGGCCGTGAAATGAGATCCTCCCTTACAAGAGAACATATGTAGTCAAATGTAGTCTTTGACACTCTAAAGAAATATTTAAACCCTTCTGCCTCATCATTGGGTACTGAGTATCCTGTGCAGATGTTAGCATCAATTAATAATACACCTAAAACACGACCTGATACCGACACGGCAACACCGCTAATAATTTGAAAAAAAATACTCATTATATTTAATCAAGTGTCCGACCAGGTGTCTGACATGGATACACTTTTTTCCAACATAGTATATTATCAATAACACATCTCTAGAAATCAATTAATCAACTATGATGATGATATCATTGCCCTTTAATCCCTATGTTGAACTGAAAAGAAAAGGGTTTTTTTTCATTCTAGAACAACATAGTCAAAACAAAGATTGAAACTTTATAAGGAAAATGGAATGAAGAGGAAGGAGAAGATACCTGGGGCAGTGGAATTTTTGTGCCAGAAAGATTCCCACCAATCAATTTCATTGGGTTTGGGTTCAACAGGGACAACCAGGCTCACTTGTTTGGGTTTCTTCTTTGATTTCTTGTGGAGGGGTGGCATTGATTGATTCGGTGTTGAGGGATAATGGGTTAAGCTTCAGCTGAGACAGAAGAGAGACCAGTGTCAAAGACAGGAGGAGTTCATACAGTGATTCAAGTCAAGTTGAATTCTATTTAATGTTCACACTTTCTGTTTCAAAAACAGTGTAGTGTGTCTCTTTTAGAACTTTTGACAAAGATGAATATATAAACTATAGTTTATAAAATCACATTAATTATAAAAATAAAGTTTGATAACACGTTTTTTTATAAGATTACATTTTATTTTATTTACTTTATACTTTTTTAGACGCTATTACAAATAGTTTTTTTTTTTTTAAATTAAAATTAGTTATTTTTATTATTTTATGAGTTTTGAGGTTTCTTCTTTGAATTTTGTTTGAATTTCCTTCTTTGAGTTTTGTTCAAGTTTTTTTTTTCTTTTTTTGTTTCATTTGAGTTGGAGAAGAAAAGATGGAGTTTTGAACCTCGTATATGAAAGACATTGTACTTTGGAGTTTGATTTATGAAGAAATGATGTTTTGAGTTTAACTTAGTGGAGAGGATGAAGAAATGGTGCTTTGTTTGTTAATGGAAGATTGTGTTTCGAGAGAGATGATGAATTTTGCTAGAGCTCAATGAGGTATTTGATAATACAAAAGTAACAAAACTAGCTAGCCTTGTTTTGTTAATACAAAAGTGTTGACGTAACAATCAGGGGTCAACGAGGAAATATCTTTAAAAATAGAAAAACAAAATCACTTTACTTTTCTGTTGGGAGCTCTCATAGATAGGAAAACTTATTTATTTTTAATTAAAAAAAGTAAGGTGTCATTATGAAAATACAAAAGTCATGTTGTTAAGAATCAAACTCATGACAAGTGTTATTTTTCCTCTCGTTTGGATTTCCAAAAGAGATAAAATCTTATTTATTTTTAATTAAAAAAATGAAGAGCACATAATTAAAAAAGTTTTAATTTATTCCTATATTCAACTGATATAAAAAACTTGTTAGGTAATATATATATATATATATATATATATATATATATATATATATATATATATATATATATATATATATATATATATATACTGTAGTGAAACCTTTTCACTATTTCCTTAGGACCGTTAGGGGAGTGACAATAACGAAGAGGATTACACAACAATGAAATCTTAATAACTATTTTATAAAATTGTTGTGATTTAAGAGGAATCGTTATGTGTTTTAGCAGGGAATAACCATAAGAAAAGGGAAAAGGATTCAAATGGGGGATTTAATCGTTTCTCTGATCAAGTATTTTAATTGTTAATTTAGTCTAGTTATTTTAATAGTTATAACACAACTAATCAATCGTGATATGAACACTCCCTTGTAGTTACGTTTTTCACCCTTTTAATGACAAGTATACTTTCCTTGGTTTTGTTGAATTAACGATAATCCCACTGTATACATTTTAAATTTACTCACATCTTAGGCTTTTTATTGACATGAATAACACTAAATTTACAACCAACAAGGTCCTAAGGAGGAAATTAAAAGAATATGCAAAAGGAGTTAATTGTTCTTTTTTCAATCTAGTTAGTTGAAAAAGTGGTGGAGCGGTTTAAAAAGCACATTATAAAACTATAAACACTCATTTGGGTTATCATGTGAAGTTTTAGGTAATGAAATATCCCGAAACTGAATGAGAAAATAAGAAGATGAAGAGTACTCCCTATGCAGGTGAGGTTTGAAGTATGATGTGTGGTATGGTTTGTAGTAAACCAAACGTGGCATATCCAGTTAACGTAGTAAGTTGATTTATGGAAAATTCTTGTCAAGTTCATTGGGAAGTTTGAAATGGATGCTAGATATTTAAATGGTTTCTTAAATGGTGGTTTAAAATAGACAAAATTAACTCAAGAGGATGACTCTTTTAAAGATTTTGTGGATTCAAACATGTGGACACTAGAAAATCCTTATTGAATTTTGTGTTTACGTTGTTTGAAACAACTATAAATTGAAATGAAAATCAATAATATGTGGTTGCATTATCTACTACTCAAGTTTTCCCTTGTTGAAGGGGTCAAGGAAATCATATGATTGAATATTAGGATTGTAAAGTTGGGAACCACTCAAGAATGTATGAAGATACTATTAGACTGTTATTGTATCAGACTATAATTCACTACTACAAAATACGCAAACAACAACGTCCAGTTCACCACGCTTCTTCCCAACACCGTGGTGACATCTCTAAACCCAGGCGCGAAAATTTTATTTTTATATTTTTATTAAAAATTGTTAGCATCTAATAACGGTTTCAGACATAATCGTGGTTATAGATTCCAGACTTTCTTGGGTTCGAACTTCAGTGTCCTCACATTTAACGTTAAGGCACGTCTTTTCTATTATATTTATTTTTATATATAAAATAAAGGGTTACGTATGCGGTTATTTAGTTCACCCATTGTGATACATTTATATATATCACCACGGTTGCTAACGTCAATCGTTGTGGGTATTTTAATATATAAGCAAATTTACTTTTGCTCTCTTACAATAGTGTCGTATCTTTCTCAACAAAATCCTAGAACCCATTTTTCTCTTCTTATTCATCATTTGCATTCATATTCTACAATATATCCGTCAATCTTGTTCTTCTTACATAAAGGTGTTATTCTTTTTCCTTTATTCTCTCGTTTTTGTGTACGTTGTTGTTATGTTTCACATGGTTAGATAGTTTATGGTTCTTCTATTTTTGTATGTTGTTCTATGTTGTTGTTTCTTGTTGTGTTGATGACAAATAAGTTTTCCGTTTCACATGTTGATAATTTTTATGGTGTTTGTAGGACTCAAGAGAAGTAAATGAAGAAACAACAACAACAGCAAAATTCATCTAGTTTTAGAAGCTATGA